CTTTTGAACTATAGAATACTTAAAATTGGAAACAACGCAAAACGTTAGCGAATGGAGCCAGGTTTAAGACCATCCTAGCAACAAATAAAACGATACATTAGGTTTCGTTGTTTTACAAAATATCAGCCTTCCAACCATAGATGGGGCAACTAATTAACAGCTTCAGTAGTTGCTAAGGTGGTCTTTCCAAACGTTCATTATGTGATTATATGTAAAAAAAAACCACGTAAGTTATGATCTATTCAAACGGGGAACGGGAATACAAGTCAGATTATATACCATGATATCGAAAAATATGGTAACGAACTTTGTCACTAAACGTAGAAACTTAATTATCATATTAAATTTCTTTGCAAAAACTTGCCTGGCTCTACGCTTTAATCGTGAGTTGATTAAACTATGACGAATTGTGTGTGGTTTATTTTTGTAGAAATCTATGTGTATGGACAGTAAAATAATCCGTTGTCCCATACGAAGGTCTAGTTTGAACTCCTTCATAGAAATAATGATACGAAAATATCAAAAACGTATATTTCACTTCCTTGTTCAATCTTTGGTTGTACAATCATCCTTCTGAAAATACAACTACTAACCATTCAGTGTAAAACTGCATAAAATGATTTGCACGATGTGTGTGTCAGTGCATTTGTTATTTAATGAAACAATGAAATAATCAATTGCATGCGTATGTACAATATGAGATTTGATATGCACCTGCCTATAATTTATATCATCATATAGGCTTATTTGATATTGGTATGGTCCCACTAAATTGTTCGTTAGATAACTAAAAGATGAACAATAAGGAGGATCATCATAACACTGATGCATTCGATCATCTGAAACCATGCTCTGATATTCATTAAACGGTAATGATGAGACTGTTAATAAACATGTGAAATTTGTTCTTTCTGCAAATTAACTACTACATATATGGGGATAACTAATCTCAAGTTTTTGAATATACAGCTCAGACTTCTGTTCATGCATAGTTAGTGCATCAGTTGTACTCAGATGGTATGAAAACAGACCTATGAAGTAGTTCAGCTTAGTCCTTTAAATTACTTTCAAGCATGATTCATGAGGAATTGTATTCAAGTAACTAACACTGATCAAAGTGCACCACGACGATGAGTTTACCAGCTTGGTGGTCAAACTGTGAAATTATCGATCTAATCGGGACTAGAAATTAATTGATCTCCAGTGACTTATAAACGTTGGAATTGAATTACCTGGCAACATTAGGTGTTCACATATTGTTGATATTTTCGCGATTCTTCGCTAGCTTTTGATTCGCAGAACTATATGATACAAGACAAATTGTTTACGAAAGACATACTTTCGATGTCAGTTGTAATCATAAATATCACCATCGCTTCTTCAAAAGTGTTAACACTAAACAGCCAAACCACGTGAAATAACCCAGTCTTACTTTTCCCTCATAAAGATAATTAAATTATCCATCGCAGCTAGTTCCACAAAAGCGTGTAAATGGGTAGATACACATGGAGCTGATTATTCTGAAACGTATCCTAATTACATTCCCTCACAAACATCACTGCTGGTGACCTTTCCCATAATCTTTGCCTAAGCTAACCGAACTTACAATATGATTTGTTATCATGATAATAATACGCTTTCCTTGTGCACTGACCACTGAATTATGTAGCTAAGGGAATACTAGTACTACCAATTTTAATATCAAGCTAGACGAAACCTCTTTACAATCAGTACTGACAAATACGCTTGTAAAATGTAGATAAAACGTTTTAATAAGTGCCTCTGGGGGAGGTTCCGAGCTCAGGAAATGAATTTAATTGATGCCACAACTTCTATTGTTCCTAGTTTACCAAGAATGCCAACAATATCCCAAGAAATTCAGTTCGCAGGGTAAAAAAAGGCAGTTTTCAACCTAAAATACTGACTGAAAGCGTTTCCATCTTTTTGGCATTGTAGGTGAACTGAAACGAAATGAAATCTAAAATTTATTTTGTATATTTATCTACTATATTAACAATTTAGTAGTTAAAACTTAAAACTAAATTTATCTCGGCAGTTAATGGTATCAATGGTGTGTATTTGTTTCCTGTTATCAATATTTCAAAAACAGAAACAATAATTACTCAGTGTCTGGAAATTTCATCATAGATTATTTCATTCGAAAAATCTTAGGAGTTCTAAATGTCAAATAAGCTCACGTAGAAAATTGTCATTGTTTTATCAAAACGATATTTGGAATACAAGAAGAACCAAAATAGTATTCTTAACCTGGGCATAGAAGTCCTTCACTCAGTCAAATCCACCTATTTTCCAGCAAAATAGCTTCTTCTACGGGATTCTCAACCGTAAATGACTGTCAGTATAATGAATAGCTTGAAGTTTGTAACGTTTACCATGTTACAAAGATACCTATATGGAAAAATTTGATGTTGTAGAATGTCTGATAAATCTTTCTTTCATTCCTTATAGAAGAGATCAACAATTTCACATTTCAGTTGTGTAAATAACCTGATTTCTTGATATCTTATGGTGCCAAACTTTCCAGGCACGTCTAAACTGTTTTCACTTCATTTTGGTGAACAAATAAACTCTCTTATTTCGATTTCTCCTGTATATCGCAAATGCTTAAGCGAAGTTTGCTTTACTCACTTCCAAATGTCGTTTTACTTGTGATTTGCCGTTAACCATTTTTCAAGAGTAGCTTAGTTATTCAGTCTACTTCTAGTAAACAGATTTTCAATCTCATTCCGTTAAGAATGTTCCTAAATGTTCTGAGATATCTTGAGAATGAACTGACTTTATTCATTGCATATGTTACATTTGTATAATAAACTATTATTGTCTCTGTGGTGTTCGAGTGACACTGCTGATGTACAGTTCTGTGTTATGAATTGATGCCACAGTAGATATTATGGCACCACTTGTGTTCTGATATCTCTCGGGAATAATTCTGAGCTACATTTGACAAGATGAAACTTTGATCACTAAACAGATTGAAAGGAGTTATTAAGATTTGTCAAAACCAAATCGTTTTTCAACCGCACATTGACCTCAGGGTAGAATAATTGAATTTTATGATGAATCCTTAATAAGATCTTCAGATAAGATATCTGACATCACAAAATGACTTGCAGGCAAATTAGTAAAACACCTAGTCAGTAAACAAATATTTTGTTCCTTTTAGGCAAGTTTTTAAGTGCGAATTTTGAAAATACTTGTAGAACTCTCATTATCGAATTTGTCTATTGCAACCTCATTTTGGTAGGCCAGGTACACGCTCAAACTGTTGGAAAAGGTAATCTAACACCCCTGACCGACTGACATAAATTGAGAATCACATGTTCAGTTTCTATTTGGATAATGATAAAATTTATAACACCAAGTTAGGCTGATTTTTAAGTGAATCTGTAAATTTCCATGGTTTTATTATTTAGAAATTTAAAATATCAGCAGTCAAGCAGCTGCATTTTTCACCTTTGTAGAACTTATGAGAAATCGAAATGTTCTGCTGTTTGTAAGTCTATGAAAGTCCATTGAGATTGTTTCCAGTGTCAAAAAAATGTTGCATCATAGCTATGAACATTGACAGAAACAAAGGTTGATTATTTTGTAGACATCAAGATTAAAGTTCAACTTTATAGAGTTAAATAGTTAAAGTATTGGGTAAATGGCTTGTAAAGGAAATAAATTTTTTTAATTTTCCAATGAATGTTCTGAATACTAATGCCCTCAGCAGGAAGAAAAATCTTACTGTCCAACCAATTTGGAGAGCACATCTGAAATAACATGTTACATACACTATTCATAACTGAAGCACATATTTAAAACAAACTGAATTTCTCATTCATGTTACCTTTCTCACACTTTCACACCTATTCACATGTGCACACACATTCACACATTAACTTTAAACTCATGATAGCAATAACATTTATTCACGAATTATTATCATGCATGAATAACAGGATCTGATTTATCTTCACTTACTTTTTAAATATGTGATAGCAAGTTTTATTCTTTGATGACGTGGTCTTCACGAGGTGGCAAGACCTCAGAAATTTGTCTTCATACCTCATTAAAACTTTACAAATGTATTTCTTTTATAGATTGTTTACTGAACGTGTATCGTTCAGCATGATAGACGTGTTATTTGTTGATCAGTTTGGAGGTTTTCTGGAAATTGATTTGTTGCGAAGTACTTCTCATCATACCTCGATATCAATCAGATAAACATTGGATAGCTTCGAGTACTAGATGGCGGTTAAACCAAAGTTTTGAATTCCGCTTGATTTTTACCTGAGATACCGTAGGAGATTGGACTCTCAGCCCTCAGCTCTAGTGGCAAGCATGTTTCCCCTCAACTGATTTCTCACAAACCTTCAAAATGAATAAAAGTTCTACACTTGCGAAGGAATTACCTTGAGATAAACTTTTGAAGTTCCGGTAAGAAGCATTTTCCTATAAGGTCAACCATATCTGCCGTAAAAACAAACACCCATCAATTAAACTTTATGAAAGTCGCACGATATTATGACACACTGTGAATTAAAATGTGAACCAAGTAGGTGGGTTGTATAATGCTCAGTATGAGATCCAGTAGTCCTTAGTCTAATCCGTTTGTGGACACTGCTGTAGGGTCCCAAGCTAGGATGAAACTGTTATTCAACGACACTAAGTTCTAAGTACTTCTTAGGAAGATCTGGGCCTGTGATGATGAGAAGTTTTAAATATAAGGTGTATGTTTCTCAGCTTTTCTGAGGGAACGAATTCAACGTTGAGAAACATTGGTGTATATTAAAAATTGACATGACATCCATAAAATGCCAGACACAGGTTATTCGCACTAGCGTAACCTAACGCCTCTATTCTTCACCGTTTTTACGCTGTTTATCAGAAAATCATTTATACAATATTTCACCTACTTTTCTGTTGACGAAATATTTACCGCCTCAGAGAAGGCATTACAAGTCAAATGCAGAAAAATGAACAAACAGTTAAGTGATAAATCTTTATTATTTCATTTGTTGGACATGAATTCTAAATAATCAACTTAAAAATGAAGTGTATGACTGATGAAATCATAAACATCTAAACAGGTATGTGCACACATATTACACTTCAGTGGATTATTTACACAATGCATTCCCATATGTAGACAGAATAAGGCTTGTTGAACAAATCCAATTTGACAATATTCACAAACATATGGAAAAATTGGTTGTAAATGTCCATTGGTGTTCATTTTTTGATTATTCGTTTGAGCTATATTGGAACCTTGTCTACTGGTATGTTGAATATCTGTTGATATTTGTCCATTATTCATCTGTTCTGAATGCATACGTATCTTACCAAGATGATGACAATTTGATGTTTGAGATTTATTATGTTGGTTTTGAGATACACTGAACTTTGATCGATTATAACTCATAATTTTACGAATATTCCTGTAGGCTGTTTTTTTAGAGCACTTCCGGTCATACCGTATCTAACAAAAATTTACAGAAAAACAAGACAGCTAGTAGTACTTGTGAATACATGATAATTAAATCAGGTGTATATTGAGACGTTTAATAATGATAGCAGTGGTAATGAGAATAAGGTTAGTTAGGTGAAACAAATCAGGATAAGAAAAACAAATGGGTAATAATTAAAAGTGAAGAGTAAGTAAGAAAGATTGAATATAATTAGATTATCATAGCAGATTTAAACTGACTACCATTTCCTTCTGAATGCAGAGGTTTGGTTTGACAACTTGAATCGCGTAGGCTTCTCTTTTGAACAACGTGATATACGCTGAGTCGATTCAATTCTCACCCCTGAGTCAACATTATTATTATTATTATTTTCCTACCTTAAACTCACTATCATTCAAACTCATAGTTAATCGTGTAACCTATCTCCAACCCATTTAATTTTGAGCATCCATTTCTACCCCTTTATTACCACTTGACCAGTTAAAACTGTTCACTTCTATATCGATACACTTAAATCTGTCTGACTACGTTATATATGTTTGTATGTATGTTCTTTTGCATTGCTTAAGCGTATATATAATCAAGCATGTAGAGTATCCAGCTGACGAGTACTGCTGAAATTTATGAATTCATTAAATTCTCCTTTTTTCACATTCGTTGCATGTTTTTAATTTGTATCGGGAAACAAATGCTTTCAAAAGCAAAGTAATTAAACTTTTTTATGATCTCACATGCCTGCATCCTTATTATACAACTTACAGTAGATTACTATTGAATGATTTGAGAGTTATTTCTCATAGTTTTAAGGCGGAGTCATGACCTTTAACTCTCAACTCCATGGCTGAATAGTAATCCACCTATCATGAGAGCTCATCACTCCAGATGCTACCCAACACATTATCGTAGCTCAGCACTTCTGGGCAGTCCCAAATGACTGGATGAAAAAGCTGTTAAGTGGTTATCAGTAATTTTTAAACCGTTATCAGTTGGTGATGAAACGTAATTTCAAAACAGAATCATTTAAAAAATAGTGCTACATAAATGTAATGAAATAGTTTTGTTCCTTTAAGAAGTCTGTCCTCAACCCAAAAGTAGATATAAAGGTATTGGAAATAAACAAACTAGTCTTATGTACCACAACTCTTTGTACGTAGTACGTAACAGGTGAAAAACCAACTAATTACTACGATACACATTGGAAAACTACTGTCAAAAGTAGGAACCGAAGTGATCCCGGGCAAATTTGAAATAGAAGAATTAAAATAAAAATGTCCTACATTGATTTCATCAAAGAAAACAATTAGGTAGTGACATACCACTGGTACTGCATAATTAAAGTTCATACGGTTTACTGTACCAACGACAATGGTAGTCACATTCTTTTTCAGTATTCTTTGTTAAATAAATAATATTGAAATCTCATCTATTTGGGTTTTTCACACGGAAATTAATAATATATAACGATTACAGTTACAAACGGATTAGTTACTCATCTCATTTTCCTCACGTAATAAGCGATTCTGGATGAAATGTGGTACTATTAATCTTAAGTTTCAAGATCCATAACTTGCATCATTCATACCATTTCTATGTCAATATTTTACTCAGTGTCCAATAACTGAAAAATAGTCTATCAAAGCTTGAAAATAGTTCAAACAAATCTGCTACAAATGTCCACAAAACTGTTTTGACCATTCTAGAATTCTCCATCTATTCACTCAGCTTTCAAGAAACGAAACGGACTAAAAACATCGGTAATTTCCGGACATTCTCAATGAAGCTCATAAGTCAAGGTTTACAGGCCAACATATCAAAACTGTGCTAGGGTGGTTTCATAGGGAGTAGCTACTGTGACCCAGTGGATAACGCTCTGGCGTTTAAAGCGATTCGTCTTGAGTTTGAGTCACATTGGGAGCAACATTACTCAGTGAAAGGTAAGATATCAAGAAGGCGAGTCACAAAGTAGAACGAAACCCAAACCCTGAAATCCATTGCTAGCCACTATCTATCATTGATATCCAGCCAGTCATTCTTTCACAATCTATAATTCTCATTAGCAGCACCAAATATACATATTTTATCCCGATGTTCCAACATTTCAACCTTACCTTGTGCAGAACTTCATCATCGTTCTTTAAACCACTAATTTTCGTTAATTTGTTAACATCATTCCCATGTACAGTTTTTATCTCACAGCTTGCTTGATGATTGCGTAAAGCACGAGGTGAAGGTAAAGATCGACTTCTTTTCGTTGTATAACAGTCCTTAAAGTTAACAAATGTTCTATGAAATTTTAAAGATTTAAGATCATTATAACGGGCTGGTTGCGGATCAACTGTCGCATTTTTAAAGTATTCTTCACTGTGCACTTCTTTGATTACTCTTTGAGATATACACTGTAAGTTAGTTGTAGCCTTTGAATTGTCATTCACTGATTCTGAGACAGTTGGAGAGTTTACTGTTTGTGAATTATTAGTACTTGAAGTTGATGAAGTATTGTAGTTGGGCAAGGATCTTATCAATGAATAAACTGGTAGCGTACATGTTTGATTAAATAAAAATTCATTGAGATTACCTTTTGCACTTCCTTCATAATCGTTTACTTTTGGAATAGATTTTTCACTTGTCATTCGTAACCTATCTCTAGTTGTCGATGAGGTGAAAACATCATTTTTGTTTCCTTTCAGCGATGAAATAAAATTCATTTTTATATTTGTAGAATCATTGTTTGCTTGCTGTTTACAATTCATCAGTAAGCATTGTATCCCATCATTTTTCTGTATATCTAATAATGATGATGAAGTATTTCTATTTGATTGCAGTCCTCTAACACAAGGTATATTATCCTCTAACGATGAAAATACTTTCCGATCAACAGGATCAAAAACATTACTGTCCATATTGTTTTTTGTATTGACGTTTACTGTTGGACTTTGTAAGGAATATATGTGCGGTAGAGTGAGTTGGTTGAACAACATATTAAATATTGGCTCAGCTCTTTCACCAATCCAGTTTGAAAGTGATGCATACGGATGGGTGCTTTCAAACACATTTGATGTTTCGCTTTTCTGAGTACACGCTTGATCTGAATCAACTAGAACTTCACAAACAGTGATTTTTGGTTGGAATTATTTTTGTTCAAAGTCGATGCGTTATTGATTGCTTCCGAGTCTATACACATTCCAGCACGAGCACTATCCATCATATGCATTGCTAACATATCTCGTGTTACATATTCTGCACCACATTTAGTGCATACGAAAAGACACTGATTCGATTCATGATCTAATATAACGTCATTTAATGACATAGTTTTTGACCAAAAAGCTTCAGAATCCAGTCAGTTCAAATTTCAATACATATCTGAAATTGACGCAATTATAAATCACTGGGTATCTAAATAAAATAAATATGAATTCATAAACATCTGTTATAGTACAGTTTTCAATGATAACTTATCTTGAAAATAGTACGACTAAAGAGCATTTAATAAATAGGAGCTAAGATCTATAAACTTTCCTTTTATATATAATAAAATTCAGTGGTACCTGTCACTTCTACCGAAGATTTTAACATTCTGTTGTTAATCCAACAGTCTATTGTACCTGTTTGAACTGTTGAAAACGATAATGTTATTTTTGTACGTACGTTAAGTGTCTGACATTACTCATTAGAAAACTAAAACAAAAGATATGTTCACTTCATCCAACAATATCATCTAACAGTAACATCTAATCAAACGCTTCGTCTGTCTATTTTTCACTTTTTTCTTGAAGAATATTAGTGCCACTAGATGGTTCGAGGCAATCAACAGGGAGCTATGAAGCTATGGTTTGTGCCCGCTGGCACTCGTTAATAAGGCATATCTGCAACCTTGACCGAACCGATGTCTCGTTTGACTTAAACCCCATTTACCCCTTTGCTGCAGTCAGAGACATTACTACCGATTTATCTGTGTAGGGATTCAATAAAATAAACTGCTTTATCCCCAGAGGGTAATTTACTTGGTGTAGCCTGGTCATAAGTGCCGATCGAATTCTATAACTCATTTTGTAATGTGGTTACCAGACTAACAGGTTCTCCATCACGGGTCACATCGGTTGGTTACTTTCCGCTGGCCACTCAATGTAGGTTACCCAGTCCTACGGGTAGTCTGTCACAGTCCGGTAATCTTAGCAGTAACGTTTATGACTACAACATTGGGTGATGCGAGCTTGAATCTCAGACAGGATATAAGTCCTCTCAAGGTTACAGGTGCGTCTTACTGACGAGTACCAAGAAGCACAAAACATAAGTCCAGGGTATCCCGCCGATTGCCATTAACCATCTGACATTAATCGACATACATAGAGATGCTAAATCCCCTAACCTGCTGACTACATATCAAATAATCAGCGAAAGTCGGTCAGTACTTAGGACTACAGAGTTTGAAATTCCTATTCTCTAGTGACTAGTAAACAAACGTTATTCCCGTCTATACAGTTCACTCCGTTACAGGCTTACGTGATGGTTGACAGATAAGTTAAGAGTTCACAGAAACGAACCTAGATGCACTGAACAATACTGCAACATTTGCTAGGGTTACTGAAGACTCAACTTTAGGAATAGATTCAATGTTGATGTAATGTATCTCTTGCATTTATCACAGCACATACGAAACATCGAAGATTTCATCCTACATTCTCCGGACAACATAATTTTAACAATAATTGTAATGACTTCAATACTGAAGTCAGTACTAATGATGTTTTCTAGGAAGATAATGAAAGCTTCACGAATAAACCACCCAGCTCAGAGAATCAAACTTAACCAAGATCATCCACTTAAGCTACAAACATTCCCCACCATTTTTGTTTCTTTTTGACAGGACTGTTTGAGATAGTCGTGGCTCAGCGAACTGGTATTATTCATTCCAAGTGATGATTGAAGGTGAAAAGGAGTCCTGGGTCAGGGCAGGATTGCAACTAGTGACCTCTAGGTCATCAATACATTTGCTGACTATGTCCTAACTTCAATGAACGACGTTTCTGTCTTGCTGTCACGTGTTCGCATGTTGTGTAACTCTCAGTTTATGGTTGTAACACGCTTTCGTGTTTTTGTTATTTTCGCTTGGTAAAGGTTTTCCCAATGAAGCACATCATTTTGATCATACTGGAAGAAGCATGACTGAATGACTTCTACTTGATACAGATTACAGTCGAGTATCTAGACGGCTTATTACTTTAGCATCTAAAATCACATCATCTGATTTTATATTCTGGTGATGGTCAAATTTTCATAATTACTGGTGAAATCCATCCATTTGTCTTTAATCTTCCGGTTTAAACTTGTAGCACAGTATGAAGTCTGTAAAATAAACTTTGGTTTATTAATATGAGAGTAAAACTGAGGCACCGTGGTGGAGTGTGGGGACTCTGATTACCTTGATGTGACTGTAAGCAATAAGTTGTGCCCGAAAAGTCACGTGACAAATAATAATTTTCTGTTGCGTAATATGTATAAAAAAATACGATTTAAATTAAAGCTGGCCATACATTATGTAACTTCGCCTGGTTAACTAGTTCACTAGTTACTGGCTGGTCCTAAGCTCGGATAAAGAGGGAAGGTTGGGCATAGAGTAAACTAGCAACCCAACCACGTAAAATCAATCCAATCGCCAAAGAAACTTCAAAGCACAAACAAAATATAAAAAATAAAAAACAAAATTATTCCTCGCTGGAATATAACAGACGAAATGACGCCGGTTGGTGAAAGCCTTCGGGAAACCAGTCGGTCGATGTGCCTTACCGCCATCGATGAAAGAGAAAGTAAACATGGAGACATTGAATGTCCACACCATGTTTGAACCTAGCAAGGCCGCACAGATTGCAAACGAGATGAGAAGGTATCACGCTGAAGGGCTAGGAATTTCCGAAAACAGATGGAATGGGAGTGGACTCTCCAAAACTGTCAACTGGAAAATCAGTAATCTACTCCAGTCTTGTCACCGAGACGACAACCACGAGCACACTGAGTTATGGAGTGGCTATCATGATGTCCTTAAGAGCATCGAAGCCTCTCATACAGTGAGAATCAATCTCCTCTTGCAGGATCATAACAGCAAGGTTCAACTCGAAAGGAAGGGAAGTCACAATCATACAATGCTACGCTACTCTACGCACCCACAAATAATGCAGACGGAGAGGAGAAGGAGGAATTCTACAAACAACTGCAATCAGCACTAGACAAGACCCCGTCCCAGGTAGCGACATCAAAATTCTAATCAACGACATGAATGTGAAACTGGGAGAGGACAACACAGAAAGAGAACTAACCATGGGTCGAGAAGCACTCGGTGAAATGATGAACGAGAATGGAGAGCTGTTATTTGCATTCAAAGATTTGGTGATTGGAGGTAGTGTGTTCAACCAAGTACAAGGATATTCACAAAGTGACATGCAGTTGATTTCACCAGACACCAAACACACTAAAAATCAGATCGACTTCATCTCAATATGAACAAAGTTGAGACGCAGCCTACTTGACACAAGGTCAAGAAGAGGAGCAGATGTAGGCTCAGACCACTCACTACCCAGTGCAAGGAACCTGCCTTCCAAATCAAGTTGAAGGCCTCCACAGAAGTTGATGATGATAGACCACTGTTCAAGTTCAACACCCAGAACAGAAACTGAAGGACGAAACTACAAAGGAGATCTTCACGGCAGCCATCAAGACGAAATGGGAGATATCGAGCAACATCCCTGAAGAAACCTGTGTGGAAGAACACTGGAAATCTTTGAAAGCTATGTGGAGGGAAACCTGCACAACCGTGTTAGAAGGATAGAAGAAGCAAAACAAGGAATGGATCTCCACGGACACATGGAAGCTGATAGAGCAGGGAGAGGAGGATGGTGAAACAGAAGATAAACCAGTGCAGTACAAGGATGCACAACGACGTGAAGATGAACTGAGTACAATGTGTAAAACACCACACTGGACAACGCGATGAAGAAGAGTGCACGCAAAGACAAAAGACACTTCTACGATACACTTGCAAGTGAAGCAGAACAGGCTGCAGACTGGTAGGAGAGACAGAGAGACTTGACAACATTGTATCAAATAACCAGGTTACCATCTGGGATGGAAGAGATCAACACAGATGAAAACAATGAAAGTTGATGAAGGAAATCTAATTACCAAAGAAGAGAAACAAAAGAAACAATGGCTGACCACTTCAAAAAGATCTTCAATCAACCACCACCTGCACTTGGTACAGAAATACCGCCTGCAACCCAGCCACAGAACCACCAGTAAACATGAATCCTTCATCAAAAGTCGAAGTCCTGAATGCCATACAGCTACTGAAATGCGGAAAGCAGCAGGGCCAAATGGAATCCCACCAGAAGCACTAAAGACAGATGCAGAGACAACAGCGGACATGTTCACACCACACCAGTATTGCAGAAGGTCTGGAAGGGAGGAAAGGTACCTGCCCATTGGTTGGAAAAAGGGCTATCTTGTCAATTTCCTGGGGAAAGAAGACCTGAGTGTTTACAAGAACTGTTGAGGAATCATGCTTCTGTCCACCCAAAGCAAAATATTAGACCGCATCATCTTGGAGAGACTAAACAATGCACTGGATTCAAAACTACAACTTGAACAGGATAGCTGGCTGGATTCAGGAAGTACAAATTATGTGCGGACCAAATTCCAACGCTACACTATGCATCATCATACAACAGAGTATAGAATGGCAGTCAACTGGATCTCTACCTCATCTTCATTGACTTTGAAAAGACCTATGACAGCGTCGACCGACAAGTAATTTGGAAACTGCTTCAACAATACACAATACCACAAACCCTCACCAGCCTCATTCAACAACTATATAAAGATGCCATATGCTAAGTAATTCACAACGGGAAGCCCACTGATGCCTCTGAAGTGAAGTGAAGAGAGGAAGGAGTGAAACAAGGCTGCCCACTATTACCCATGATATTCCTGATTGTAGTGGACTGGATCATGCAGCAAACAGTGAGGAGCGAGAAGACGGGGGTACGCCAACAATGACTTGTGTCTGATGTCACACAAACTCGAAGATCTACAGGCGAAAACTAACAAGTTGTCAGAAGAGGCAGAGCGAGGCAGCGAAGATGTGACCTCCCTCAGGTGAACGTAGAGAAGACAGAGGTGATGAAGATACCCAATCAACAACAGCAAAAACAACAGCAAGCTCCAATCACCATCAAGGGGAGAAACGTAAAGGCAGTAGCCTCCTCCACCTACCTAGGCAGCACTCTTTCAACTACAGATGATAGCATAGATGAGGACGTCAAAGCAGACAGGATCGGAAAGACAGCAAGACAGGCATTCATTAGCCTGAAACCAGTGTGGAGATCTTCTGCACTCAGCATACATTGTGAACAATATCCGGATTTTCAATACCAACTTCAGTCAAGTCAGTGCTGCTGTATGGTCCAGAGACTTGGCGCGTTACGAAAAACATTTCCAACAAACTACAGACATTCATCAACAACTCCCTACGCTGGCTCATTACTGAAGATCAGATGAGAAGGCCAGAAATAATAAGTAACAAGGAACTCTGGCCAGCTGGCAATGAACCAATGAAGCGAGAACCTATCGCTGGACAAATATGCACTGGAAGGAAGTGAAGATGGATTTTATTGGGGATACACTGAGAAGGCCGACTAGGGACATCACGCGTCAGGTCAGCCGCTCTAGTGGAACCCAGATGGGAAACGACGAGTTGGGCGTGTGAGGTGAGGGTGACATGGAGGAGATCGTGTGAGGAGGAAATGACAGCTTTTTGGTTATCGTGGAGCCATGTTCAAAAGATTTCAGATAAGAGAGGGCACTGGAGACGTTCTACTGAAGCCCTATGTTCCGCTAGGAACCCAAGGCACAAATAATAATAATAATAATAATAATACAATATATATTGTGTAAAAAAGTTAAAATAAATCGCTTATGATGCTGAAGAGCTGTTTCACTTAGTTTGTAGCTTTGCTCAAACAAAAGTATTTGCACCACTGATAAGAAAACATCCTGCAGAATGCTCAGATCCATCCTCAAGGAACTGAAACCATGGTTAACAGATAAAAGTAACCTAAGTGGACATTTCTGCTCACAAGTATATCTCCTAAACTACTAGTAGTCTTATTCAAATATGCTGTTTCTTTCAATCCAACGTTTTTTTTTCCTGAAAACGTTCCGGAACAACTAAAACATAATATAGGATCACACTGTATCATGCATACTTCAAGGATATTTAAAAGCTAAGGTATTCACATCAGTGACCTGAGTACGATAATTTATTTCCGTTACACTACTCTAGATAGAATAAAGTCACCAAAGTTATTATGTTGCAAGTACTCTGAAAGACTAAAGATACAACTGAGATCTCCCACTTGATCCCCAAGGGAATCAGTGCAATATGTTACTTTCTTTTTAGTTATACACTATTTATATGCTTCGATTTAGAATTGTTTGAAAAGTTCATTGATAAACATGTCACCCCAAAAAGCTAATGAAATTGCCATAGACACAAACAATAAGGCAGTAAAATTAGTTCCCTCAATGATATACAGTCAAAAAAGACAACATCAAAAGAGAGAACTTTATTTAATTAAACAGGTGAGATGTCATTTGTACAATTATATGACATAATACGGATTCTTGCATTTTACTAAATATTCACTGACACCCTTTAATGGTCTCTGTTTAATAAAAACTGAAAGAATTCTCAATGATTTACAGGTCAATGAAGAACATTTTTATTTACACAGACTTCAGTTATCAGCTAGCTGAAAAATTAAAGAACCTTATAAGTGGACATACATCTATCGGAACAACGAGCAAATCTGCATACCCCAGAAACTGGATGAGGTACCACGATAAAACAGACATTAAGATATTTAAATCTGATTTCATTTTAACAATAAATAGATTACTTAAAGGAGTACATGGTATGATGTAGCACTTCTATCTGTTCGAAAAAAACTGTCGATAATGGAAGTACACTTCTGATAATTATGAATGATTGAACTCGTAATTTAGATAACCTTACAGATTATTCACAATAATAGTTATACTCGCTTCATAATAAACAATATGTGTGATAATGTATGAAATTCTCAGTATAAAATATTTCAAAAACTTCATTCGCTGTACAATATTACTTTAAAAGTTATTGCATATTTGTTTCTGGTTTGGACTGGTGAGTGAATAAAACATCGAGCGGTGTTTTGGTATTAGTAGTTTATTAATTTAGTATGCAAAATCTGCAATTAGAAATGTTTCCTAGGAATAGTGATTTATTGTATCTTCGTGTATTTATAAGTACATTTCTTACCAGTGTAACCGTTTATCTTTGTTTTATTGTTAGCTCGAAAAACTTCAGTTTACGGACATTTCCAAAATGTGCGAGCGTATTTGCTAGTGTTAAAAAATATAAGTAGAAGAGTAAAAGGATTGAAAGTGTAGAATTTTTTGGTATTTTATAGGAAATACTTGGTAGCTCAGTGTTTAAACAAGCAGCTGTCAGGAATGTGAATAGAAGAGTTTAGAAGAGAAGAATTTAGAATGACAACCATTTTTAATAACTTTCTACAGGATTCTTAGTCATAAACCTGTCAAAATAGGTACAAAATAATGGCCAATGTAAAATATATTGCAAAATTTTTCCATTGTTGAACCAGTGTTTTGGATAGATGAAAATCAAGTGAACTGTATGAGTATCAAAAGTAATACTGAAATCGTTACGAAGTGTTAGGCGGTAGTTTAAAATGACTACTAGCACTAGTATCAATAAACAAGGTCACAAAACTACTAAGGTAGTAAAAAAAAAATATTTGTCAGTGAAAGAAGGACGAGTGAGAGGTCAAGACGTGGATTTTTCTGCAGAAAAGTTTATAAAGAATGTACCTAGGGTAGACAGCTGTATACGTATATTTCTTTTGAACACGTAGATCGTTTTCACTGGTGCTGATTCCTACAGCTTCTGCTATAGATTGGAGAAGTAGTCGACTATCCATAATACTAAGCTTTTTATTATCTAAATAATCTTACTACACTGATAATCGTATGGCATCTACTTTCATGAATTTAAAATCTTCAGTCTTTAATGGGGAGTTATTGAAAATAATTCTCCACTCAAGCTATTCTTCTTCCGAGTACAATTCCTCCTTTCTTATCCTCTTCAACTGCAAAATGCCTAAAACTCTACCATTTAATTCAACATTCGTTTTGCGGTATTAAGAATAAACTTTATAAAATGGAATGTTCATCAAGTTTTAGGAACATCAACATTTTACATTTTCGCTTGTAATAGTTTCAAAAAATACTTCTGATGAAAACCTTGTTCAAGTTCAACAAGTATCTGATTCTTTGATGTGTTTTTATTTCCAAGTAATAAAGTCACAAAATATCGTAGAGCCATGCGCATTTTTGCAAAGAAATTTATGGCCTTGACTAGCACCGAACTACATAGATAATCACATTTTAGCGACACATGACATTAACCTTCCACAAAAAATGCATTCGTTTTAGAGATCATATTATTTTATAGATAAACAGAAATGCCTGTGACTCAATTTTTTCTCATTTTACCACTGTCTATAAGATCAACATTTTAACAGCCCTAACTGCTACTAACTTAAGAATCCTTTTGGTCAACAAAATATTCTGGTATTGTTAGTGCCAGGAAGGATGTATTTCAACAACTTTTTTATATCAGAAAACATCCCAAGTCATTTAGCGTATGATAGACTGTGTATAAACATTTTAATAAATTACAACTAGTCCCAATACAATAACAGTATAGAGTTTACACAGTGTATTAGAGCACTACTCCATATTAGGTTAGTTCATAATACTGATTATACTGTATCACTGTATACTACATTAAACAGACTATAAGTGTAGAATTTGGGCACTGTGATAGAATCTAACTCCATATTAAATCTGTTTATTTGATTTATAACTCACAGAGATACAGTATTATTTACTTGTTGAAGTCTCGAGTATAAATTATTCCTCATAACCATATCAATGTAATCACACTACATTCAACATCTGATTTTTATAGTCCTGTCACCTCATATTCTTTGTTTTTATTGGTGATAAGATTTTCTGACGAACACACAGGAAAATAAATAATAACAATAACTTGGGTAAGGATAATAACGACAACACAAGTAGAAAGGAGTTCAGAGACTTCATTGTGTTACCGTATAAGGAAGGCACACAAGAAACTATATGTAGGATCCTCAACAAAGCTGGAATTAGGGTGACATTTAAACCTAAAAACTCACTCAGAGATAAGCTTTGTCGCCTGCTTTAAGGAGCCGGCAGAACCAATCAAACAAAATAATCTAATCTATCAAATTCCATGTAGTGACTGCGAGCTCAAGTACATAAGCCAAACCAGTCAGCTCGTCGGGGTCAGTTAGAGTAGCAGAACATAGACATCAAGCTAAATATAGAGTGACAAACCAAAACAAGATCTAGAAAGTGGCTCGGCTATTGCAATGCATGCATTAACACACAACCACACAATAAGGTGGGATAGAACCACTGTACATAAGTCCAATATAATTAGGTGGAGAGAGACAGATTGATTACTGAATCTCTGTTCATCAAGTCAAAACTCAACACGTGGTAGAAATGACGCAACACCTATACCAGAGATATGGAGTGTTTTACAACCAATAAAAGCAGAGAATAAGAGGCGACAGGATTATAAAGATCACATGTCGAAAGTAGTGTGATTACATTGATATGATAATGAGAGCTGATAATACATGCTCAAGACTTCATCAAGTAAGTAATACTGTATCACTGTGTTATAAATCAAATATATAATCTAATATGGAATTAAAAAGACTAGTCTTATACAGAGGAAGCTAGTACATATCTTGTTGCCGCACAGATTTTCAATCCACCTTAAATCATCACTCTTTATCAACAATATGAACCCGAAAAATCATGTCTATCTCAGTCAAACTGATAATATGGAAGCCACAAACAGATTTATTGTTGTGACATCCATTTTATTATGTTTCACATTTTTCATATGGTAACCACCAGAATAGAAAAATATTCGTGATTTTTCTAAATGCAGTACATGGTCTTAATACTATCACCTAGCTTTATCTCGAATAAAGCAGAATAGAAAACAGAATTTCGCCCATATATTACTCATTTTATAGAATACAAGCAGTTAACTTTTTCGTTTCTTCTTCAGAAAAATCCATTCATTTATATGGAAAACAAAAACAAATAAGTAGTTTTCTATTAAAGTTGCACTAGGATTATTTTATACATTAAAATACTTTTATCAAAAATCACTATTGACACAATTACTGTAACGTAACTCACCAATATTTTTCGAAAAATAATTGAAAGTTTACTAATCACTGATATATGAAAGTATCATTATTACCAGTAAGATAAAATATATTTCCTTAGAGTGTATGTCTATGACCTGTTATCTGTCTGTTTATCAGTCTATCCATCTACCTGTTTATCCATTTGCTGGAAATTAAAATACTTCATTGGAAAACAAGTGTTGCATCAGTTAGTTTTGGTAGATATTAATTATATCTCATATAGTTCGTTCCTATCCTTAGTGTGAGATATATATATATGTATCATTCCTAACTAAACTGTCAAACAAATATTCTTCACTCAGCTTTATCTTTTCGATAAACCCTTACCACCAAATCTAATAGCAGCCCACAAATTTGATGTGTTCATCTAAACTGTCAACTAGAACTGAGTAAAATAACAGAGAAAGCGATATTTACTGGCTTCAAATACTTCATCGTAGATTATTTAGCTGAATAACTAACAGAATTGATTAGTTACGCCATACTTTGGAGTTAACATGCATACGTAAATAAGATGGGGGAAATCTATTAAGAAATAAGGAAGATATGAGTGAACTTTAATTTACTGAAGGCTAAAAAAGGAATAACCTCAGGTTCGGAAAAAGTGAAGTGGAAGTGTTGAAATGTTCCGTCTTAGTGCACCTACTGGACAAAGGACATCATACAGATACTAAAAAATCTTTTAGTTTCATGCATCGTGTTCCAAAAACAGTGCCACCTGTAGCTTACCAACGCCTATTCAACTTACCTAAGGCTGTTGCAATCAGATTGATTTAACTTGAACTGTACAATCAGAAAGAACATGTTAAAGCGTTATTCCCCTCTTGACCTTCAATAATCTAAAAAGCACTCCTGTCTTCTTTATTCGTTGTCTTTTTGTTCACCATCACATCATTCAGCTGAATATGTATCATCTCAATATTGGTAAATTTAAAAATCTATTACCTAGATGAATTGGTCATCTAAAGGTGTAAAAATGATAACTGCTTAAAAACTACTGAGATATGATGAATGAAGTCAGAGACAACATTTGAAATAAATCTATTCCTGTTGAACTTTTTAAAAATGACCTCAGCAACCAAGTGACAAGGTTAGGACAGGGAGATTATGCAGTTAACACTTGTTAAAGGTAAAATAAACAGGATATATATTAATAATTATAATTAGCCTTCAGTAAAAGTAAAGTATCGTGAGTAGTGAACGTATGCGTATTTTGAAACCAATTTTAAGACTTTTGGATGTATTTTAGATGCACTAGAAAGTGATACTGTTTCTTCATCAGTTTACAACTTTTAACCAACATTATATAGGACAACCTTATACTTTAAAGGTTTAAGAAACGAAAAGTTATCACACCAAATAAATAATAGAACAGAGCATAGAATGGCAATCAGCTCTATACCTCAACTTCATCGACTTTGAGAAGGCCTTTGACAGCGTCGACCGAGAAGTAATTTGGAAACTGCTTCAATACTACGGAGTACCGCAAACCTTTATCCGCCTCATTCAACAACTATATGAAGATGCCACATGCCGACCAAGTAATCCACAATGGGAAGCTCAGTGATGCCTTTGAAGTGAAGACAGGAGTGAAACAAGGTTGCCTACTATCCCCCATGATATTCCTTATTGTGGTGGACTGGATCATGCAGCAAACAGTAGGCAGCGAGAAGAGGGGGATACACTGGACGACGGAAAAGAACCTAGAAGACTTGGATTTCGCCAACGATGACTTGTGCCTGATGTCACATAAACTTGAAGATCTGCAGGCAAAAACTAACAAGTTGATAGAAGAGGAGAGGCAGCTAAGACGGGACTTCAGGTGAATATAGAGAAGACAGAAGTGATGAAGATACCGCACCACCACCATCAACAACAACAACAAACTGCAATCACCGTCAACGGGAGAAACTTGAAGGAAGTAACCTCCTTCACTTATCTAGGAAGCACTGTTTCAACTACAGGCGGGACGGACGAGGACGTCAAAGTCAGAATCGGAAAAGCAAGACAGGCGTTCATTAGCCTGAAACCAGTGTGGAGATCTTCTGCACTCAGCATGTGGAACAAGATACGGATTTTCAACACCAACGTCAAGTCAGTGCTCTTGTATGGCTCAGAGACTTGGCGCGCCACGAAAGGTATTTCCAATAAACTACAGACATTCATCAACAACTGCTTACGCTCGCTGCTGAAGATCAGATGGCCAGAAAAAATAAGCAACAAGGAACTCTGGGAACGAACCAACCAAGAACCTATCACGCAACAAATATGCAGGAGGAAGTGGAGATGGATTGGCCATGCACTGAGAAGGCCGACTGAGGACATCACGCGTCAGGCCCTCGAGTGGAATCCCCATGGGAAGCGACGAGTTGGACGTCCAAGGGTGACATGGAGGAGGTCATGCGAGGAGGAAATGAGAGCTTCTGGGCTGTCGTGGAACCAGGTTCAAAAGATCTCAGAGAACAGAGTAGAATGGAGACGTGCTACTGAAGCCCTATGTTCCACTCGGAACCCAAGGGACTAATAATAATAATAATAATAAGGAATAATTTTTACTCAAGCAAACAACAATGTTCATTAAAGTTCAATGAATGCTCAGCCAATGCAACTATATATTTACCTCCTCAAAAACACCTAGTGTTATACATATCTTTATCCTCAACTGTACAAATTTGAAGTGTCAGTCAAACAGGGATAATTGGCTTCATAAGTTGTAAATCCCTAGTGGTTATGGAGGTATACAAACACTTACTTAAATGTTTTCCCCCACTCTTTAAAACTGCTAAAATCAAGGAAAAAATTTAATTTCTGCTAGCATCAGTAAGACAACAGATATAGAAAGAAAAATCCATTATACAACATATCTTCACCCTTGAATCTTTCAATAACTTTTGATGTTTATGTTAAAAAGGATTGTTCCTAAGACTAAACTCATCTCAATAAATCTGATACTGAATCAATAATAAACAACGAAAAATCTCAGTTATACGTACATGTTAGGTGTCGATTACAATTTCAACACAATAACCCAAAATGTATTCCTCAGGATATACAGTCGGCTTGAAACCTCATCGCTAAATCGTTGCAGAAATGAATTCACCATTTCAAGCATCCTTCATTGTCACAAATGCTCCTCTCACACTGCATATTTAGACTTTACAGATGTCATGGAACAAAAGCTGATTGTATATGATTAACACCAACCGGTGCCTCACAACCTATTGTGTAGCGTGAATGCAGTATATCTCAATTGATCAATAGGTCATCATATGTAACTTGGAATTGCAATCAATGCTTAATATGCTAAAAAGTACCTGTTTCTCCAGTTGAAATTTTCGGACATACCCCTAAGTATCCCATCATTCTACCTCTCCCTTTTCTTGTATGCTTTTATAACCTTTCTCTACAGCTGCATTCAGCTTGCATATTTTTAGGGGATATACAAGAGACCAGAACTATGAACACTACATGGAGTAATAATTTTGAAGAGTATAGGATGTTGATTAAGCCAAAGTTAGGTTATGAACCAAATAACAGCATTCATGATGATGAGTCTAAAAGAATAATGTTCGAAGTAATTTACAGCTAGACATAAACTACGTATTGCTGGATTTTTGTATAACTCTTCAACACATATCTGCATCCTCATACCCCTGGAAGTTTTAAGCCTATAATACCAATTACTCAGTGTGTTATTCTGTAATAAGTTTAATTATTAATAATGTGTTGTTATCAATTATTTAAATATTAATTAAGTATTACTTAATTATTTATTTTTCCTTAATTAATATTAGGGTCAGAAGGAAAATAAGGAGATCTTGTCAAAATATATTTAAAAGCAGTCGTTTATAAATCTGGTATATTTTCAGGTAATAAGGATGAGGGAAGTTGTGTGAATTTTCATAACAACCACTTTCAAAGTTGTTGACGTTTCAAGATCAGTAACTATCAGTCATAGTCGCCTCAATTTTTGTAACAAAATAAGCTATAAAGTGTAAATGTATTACTTAAAGGATAAGAGGCTTATTTTAGACATTTTCTAATGATGAGGCTTCAAATAGGATCTTATCATAAAACAATAAACAAACTTTACAGCAAGAACTGTTGTTTTGTGATGTGATTATGCCTAGTTTCGTAGCTTTTGACATGTCTTTAATCGTGTGGAAGTGTTTCGCATAAATCTCCTTCGTTTCAAATAAAACGATTAATTTTTTTAATGTGACTGGACAAATGACTCGATAATATTATCATTTCATACTCTTATGTGACTTTCAAACGGAAAAGTTAACAGTTTCTTATACGATAATGTCAAAACGAAGTGAATAAGATCATAAACAACTTGACACTAAACTACACTAGATGTTTTACAAATTTCGAAACATTAACAAGTGAGGGACGGTAAACAACAGACTGTATAATATATTTACTGTTTGCAGTGATGTACAGCAGTGACACATGAAACTGAACTAACGAATAGTATTGAGATGAAATAAAAATCTGGTTAGCAGTCGGGTCTCGCAGCTCAGCCTGTAGAGCACTACGCCGGAAACCCGTTAGTTGCTGGTTCGAATCCTGCTGTGATCCATATTTCCCTTTCACCTTCAATCATTGACAGCTAACAATAATGGCGGCAGTCATGGGCAGTTGTATTATTTGACCTGATTACTTTCTGTTTACAATAAGCTTTATTCAACTGTACTACGACTACAATCAATCTACCTACTAATAATTGTCATGAATGCCATATGTGATGCCACAAGAATCATGTCTTCTTAGCCTGCATTTATTTTAACAAAACAATAAAAAGATGAGTTTTCTTTGAAATGTATGATGTACTAGAACAATAAATCTCGAATGCTTACTTATCAAACATATTTGTGTGAAATATAAGAAAGAAAATTGGATTTAAAACACAACCAATGTGGTACAGAGTCAAACTGTTGATTTTGTGCGTCAAATGATAATAATCACTCTGAATAACAAAGCTGACTAGTGAGTGGAGGTTCAATGTAACAACAAA